TGAGGAAGACGTTCGCTAGGCGGATGGTGGGGGGAGCCTTCCACACGTCAGACGTCACAAAGCAGGTCCTCACGCTTTCTTGTTAAGTGTGTCTCCATGGACGCTTCTCCTTCCTACGACTACAGCCCATGCTGGTACACGAGGAAAGTGAAGAGAATTATCTAAGGGACGGGAGGCCGACAACTCTCTTTACTGACACAGATAAAAGACCCGGATTCATAACTCACCAGCCTGCATTGCTAATTTTCAGATTCAAGACTTTGAGCTCACAGGCCAGCCTCAAACTCACAGGAATCCACCTGCCTCTGCCTCTCAAATGCTGGAATTAAAACCACACACCAATATACCCAGACCAGTAGGTTTTCTTTTTCAGTCCACTTCCTCTGTCTTGTTCTTGGCCCAATACTTTCCCAAGACCATAACTCACCAAAGGTGGCAGAACAGGCCTTTAGTCCCAGAACTTGGGAGGTAGTGGCTGGTGGATCTCTGTGAGTTCAAGACCAGCCTGGTCTACATAGTGAGTTCCAGGACAGTTGGTGCTACATGGTATGACTCTGTCTCGACAAAACAAAACAAGACTCTCAGCTCTGCCTTTAGTAACACCGTAGGTGACACCGCACTTTGACTCTGCCCAGATGTTCACTGCGCACTCACTGTTAGCTCAGCCACCAGCTTCTCTGGTCACTGACAATTTCCTTGCACCCAGGCAAACTGTTAGTGAGGATGCCTTCTCGTCTTCCTGTGGCGATACCTGTTTGCAAGGCAATTCTCTGGAAGCAGCCCGGGACAGGTTGCCCAGTCGTATTTGGTATGACAGTGGCTCATGCTGGCCATCTTCTGGAAGCCGCCATTGTATATTCATCCCTGGAGCTCTGCCGACAGACAGTGGAGACCCAATACTTTTAATAATTAAAGTTATTTTAAAATTTCAAGAACGGAGCTGGAGAGCTGGCTCAGTGGTTAAGAAGACTTTTTTTTTTTTTTTTTTTTTTTTTTTTTTTTTTTTTCCAGAGGATGAGAATTCCATTCCTAAAGCCCACGTCAGGAAGCTCACAGCTGCCTTAGCTTCAGCTCCAGGGGCTCAGATGTCTTCTGGCCTCTGCAGACGTGCACCTCTGCACACAGACACACAGATAAGTAAATTATTTAAAAAAGGAAACAAAAACCTCAAGAAACACTCAATTATGAAAAATTAAAGACTCTAACAATGAAAAGTCAGGCATTGTGGTACAGCACTGTATTGCCAGCACTTGGGAGCTTGTGGCAAGAGGATCATGAGTTTGAGGCCAGCCTGGGCTCCTAAGAAGTAAAGGTAACATGTCTCAAAATTCAAAATCTCCTGTGAGAAACAACTAGTGTTTACATTCTGTTATTTACTTGTGTTTTTGTTTGTTTGTTTGTTTTGGTTTTTTGGTCTTTTTTTCTTTTGTTTTATTTTTGTTTTTTGAGACAGGGTTTCTCTGTGCAGCCTTGGCTGTCTTGGAACCCACTCTGTAGACCAGGCTGGCCTCAAACTCAGAGATCCACCTGTCTCTGCCTCCACTGCCCAGCTCTGTTATTTATGTGTTAATCTGAGATAAAGTCTCACTCTGTACCAGGTTGGCTTGTAGCCCAGAATCTTCCACCACCATGTGCTGGGACAGATGACTGTGCCGCCATCTGATTCCATCTGAGGATGACCTTTAACTTCTGGGCTTCCCGCCTCCACTTCAGGGTGAGGGGAGGGACCGAATCCAGGGCCTCTCCTCTATCAGTTGCGATATGTCCAGAGGCACGTTCTGATGTCTTAGGAGTTTTTTTCTGTGATACATGCACGCTTTGTGTGCGACACATTTTAGATTTTAGATGTGGCAGGCTTGGGGTCAGCTGCCCTGGGCGGGTGCGGTGAGAGGATCAAAAGCTCAAGACTGGCCTGGGCAACTGTGCTGTGGGTGGGTGGGTCCAGTGCATCGTGGGTGGGGTCACCTCGGGGCTGGTGGGCGTGGGTTCTATAAGGCCGAGTGAGCCATAGGGAACAGGCCAGTAAGCAGCACCCCTCCGCGGCCTCCGCATCAGCTCTGGCCTCCATGTTCCTGCCCTGTTTGAGCTCCTGTCCTGGCTTCCTTCGGTGATGGACTGCAGTGCAGAAGCATAAGTCAAATGAACCCTTCTTTCTCAACTTCCTTTTTGGTCATGGTCTTTTGCCACAGCAACAGAGACCCTAACTAAGACAGCAACCCAGTGAGACCCTGTTTTAAAATTAAAATGTAGGTTTGGGGACAGAATTCAGTGTTAGAGTGTTGGTCTGGCATGGAAGAGTCTGACGAAGAAAAACGCAAATCTATCTATCTATCTATCTATCTATCTATCTATCATTCATTCATTCCTTTTGCATGCTAAGTATGTGTTCTCCCACTGAACTATACCCCCAGACCCACTGGGATGTATTTCACCAATCCTTTGTATCTGGAGTAAGTCATTTTCAGTTTTTACCTATGACTAACAACAATTACAATATTCTCACTCACATGTATTTTACACACTTGTCCGGTTGTTGCTGAAGCGTGGGTAGTGCAGTTTTTCCTTTTAGCATTATACTACAGAAAAAAAAAAATTAAGCCGGGCTTAAGGAGGTATAATTTATATGCAGCAAAACCATCCTTTTTAGTGTACAGTTCCATGAGTTTTGACAAATCTGTTGGGTAACTGCCCCATAATCAAGATATGGAGTGGTTTCATCACCACCACCCCCGCAATAAGTCCCTCGTGTCCCTTTGTAGTTAAACTATCTTCCCACACTCATCCTTTGGTAACTACTGTTTTCTGCCCCTGTAATTTTGGCTCTCTCAGCATGTCTTATGTGTCAAATTATACATCTTTTTAGATGTGGCTTCTTACCCTTGGCATTCGTTTGTGTGCTGGGCATTGGGAATTTGCTCCACGCCATCACTGAGCTTCTCTGAGGGTAGCCGGTACTGCCCTTGCTCACTCGTTGGCAAGCTGTAGAAAACGTGCCTTGTGCCTAGTTCTGCAGGCTAGAACGGCTCTCAGTGTTGACATACGAGTCTCTGAGTGAACACGGCTCTTTATTGTTCTTGTGGATCACACGGTAAATATATGTTTAACTATAAAAGGGACTGCCAAGCTTTCTCATAGCGGCTACAGGGCTGGCCATCCCCCAGCAGTGTATGAGAGCGGGAGCTGCTCATTTTCGTTTGTGTGCATGCTGTGACGCAAGCATGTGTGTGCACATACGTGTGGAAGCCAGAAGGCACCACTAAATGTCATTCCTCAGGACCTTGCTTTAAAGTTTTTTATTAAGCCAGGCAATGAGGGTGCAGGCCTTTAATCCCAGCACTCAGGAGGCAGAGGCGGTCAGATCTCTGAGTTCAAAGGCCAGCCTGGTTTTCTCACTTCAGTTAAAGTTTTCTGTAAACACCCTTACAGGCACACCCAGAGGTCCAGCCAACTTGATAAGGAATTAATCATTGTAACAACCTTGGCAAAAAAAAAAAATTGTCTTAATAAATAAAGAAATATACTTATTAATTATGTAACAGAAGAACATATCAAATTTCTGTCCCTAGGTTTCCTCCATTGAAGGCATCTATCTTGTAACTGTGTACATTGGATTTGCATGCTAAACTTCTTTTTTTTCCCCCTTTGGTTTTTCGAGACAGGGTTTCTCTGTGTAATAGCCCTGGCTGTCCTGGTCTCACTTTGTAGACCAGGCTGGTTTTGAACTCATAGAGATCCACCTGCTTCTGCCTTCCTGGGTGCTGGGATTAAAGGTGTGTACCACCACTACCTAGCTTGTATGCTAAACTTCTAAGGAACTAGATAAACTCATATTCTCATCTTTTAGCATAGGCCAGGAAAAGTTTTGCTGTGTTTCTGGATGGTCTATGAATTAGTATCTAGCTATACTACATTATTATTGCTATGCATCCGAACTGGGGTCAGATGAGCAGATATCTGCTTACTATATCTTGTGCACTGGCAGAAATATTAATACTTTAAGGATGTCTAGGTGGCTCGGCAGGCAAAGGTGCTTGCTGCCAACCCCGACAGCCTGAGTTTGATCCCGGGAACCAGCATGGTTTAAGGAGAGCTTCAAGTCCTGAAGGCTGTCCTCTGACCTTCACACAGGCATGACCGTACCACAAAATAAGTTTTTAAAAGTGGTTTTTAAAAGTGTCTAAAAATTGTTAGCGTTCTCTAGGGATTGATCACTCCTGAGCCAATGGGACCAGTTCCAATCCTTGTTTTCTGGGACAGGATTTTACAGAATTACTGTTGAGAACTATTTCTGTGGGCTGCAAATCACTCTAAACTCTGAAGAAAAAAAAAATGCTTTAGCATTAGCTTTGCTTTTCTTCATGATTGATCACAAAATAACTAGTGTGTGTGTGTGTGTGTATGTGTGTGTGTTTCTTCTTTACTTTTTGTGTGTGTACTGCTGGGTTGTTCAGGCTGGCCTTGAACTCTCAGCAATCCTTCTGCCTCAACCTCTCAAGCACTGTGATTACAGGAGCATGTTACTAACTCTGCTGTTAGCTCGGTAAAAGGAAAGTTAAGAGGAAGAACAACCTGGTTATTATTTTATTTAAAAAAACTTGAAATCAGCCAAGCGGTGGTGGTGCACACCCTTAGTCCCAGCATTCAGGTCGGCAGAGGCCAGTGGATCTCGGTGAGTTTGAGGCCAGCCTGGTCTACAGAGTGCCAGGAAAGCCAAGGCCACCCAGAGAATTCTTGTCTTGAAAAAACAAATAAAGAAACAAAATACAAAAATCAAAGAAAATCCCCTTTAAATCATTGTTTAGAGTCCTGTGTGGTGCCTGGCATTTTTAGTCCCTGTAGAGGCAGAGGCAGGTGGATCTCTGTGAGTTCGAGGCCAGCCTAGTCTACATAGGGAGTCTAGGACAGCAGGGCTCTGTTACACAGAGAAACCCTGTCTCAAAAAACAAAACAAAACAAAACAAAAATATCATCATTCATTTATTTATTTATACCTACCCAGCTACATAGGCGTGCCACAGCCAGCATATGGTGGCCAGAAGAAAACCTGAAGTCAGAAAACCATCCTTCAGTTTACCTAAGTCTCGCAAAATGTCAGGCTGGGCCTCCCAGGCTGGTGTTGATAAGAGCTTCTCCCAGAATGAGGTGTGACCTTAAACAAGGCGATTTTCTTCAGCAAAAGCAATCCCCGTTCAGGGTGTTGCCTGCGAGGATCATCTTCCGGTTGTACCTCCAGTACCCGGGGAGTCTTCTTCATTCCTGATGGAGAATCTGGGGAGGCTCATGGAGGAACCACAGCATCTGTGGCTGAGAGCCTGGAGCAGAAGGATTAGAAGCTAAAGGCCAGCCTCAATACGTCACAAGTTCTAGGCCAGTGGAGGTCATGGTTCTCTCGTGCTGTGACCTGCTCAGCGAAAACTTGATCTGGCTTGGGCGGCCGATGTTAAGCACACATACAGGTGTGACGGAGAGGCACGCCATCAGGGCCTTTATCACACACACCGCCAGTGAGAAAGAGGGGCTCTTGATAATGTCTGCAGGAGCTCTGCAAGTCTTAGCACAGGGAGCTAGAAGGGAGCTGTTGATGCTCTCTGGACTCAGTCACATCTGTGCTCCTACGAAAGAGGGCCCTGCCAGCGGAGGCTTTGCCACTCCCGTGGGTCTGAGGCACTCGCCTGTGCTTGTGTCGACAATGCACACTCACTTGGGACTTTGTCAGCTCCCCCGTCTCGTGACTGTGATCACAGCACTCGGGTTGAAACTAGAAGATTACGTAAAGTTCCAGGCCCACCTGGGCTACTGAGTAAGACCTTATCTCAAAACGATGATGATGATGATGATGATGATGATGATGATGATGATGGTGGTGGTGGTGGTGGTGGTGGAGGTGGAGAGATGCTCAGTGGTTAAGAGCACTGGCTGGCTGTTCCTGCAGAGGACCAGGGTTAAGTTTCTAGTACCTACATGGTAGCTCACAACCATCTCTAACTCTAGTTCCAGAAGATCCAACAGCCCTTTTTCTGGCCACCACAGACTCTCTACCACAGAGAAAACACTAACACATATAAAATAAATTAGTCTTTAAAATAATAACAATTAAAAAATAAAAGCTAAAATGTTTCAACCAGGCAGATTACACAGCCGTAATCTTGGTGTTTGGGAACTCAAGCAGGAGGGCTCAAGAATTGAAGGTTAGTCGTAGCTATACAGGGAGCCTTTGTCTAACGTGGGTTACATGAAGACAGAGAGAGGGAGAGAGAGGACAAAGACTGAGAAGGAAATAGAAAAGGCAGGCAGAATGAGGCAGCCACCAGGACAGACGGAAGAAGACAATATACTCCAGGCTCCTTTGATAACCTTTCCCCTCCCTCCTCCCACAGGAAATAGTTTGCTACATACGTCAGGGAGGACCTTCCTTTGACAGCCTATTCTTCGGAGTCATGCCCAGAGAGGAGGGTGCAGGCGCTGACCACCTTGAAGTGACTGTTGTTAGGTTATTATCATAACCAGCCTGGTTAAACCACAGAGGTCACACTGCAGGTAGGAAAAAAGAGCTGCTGCTAATCACCCCAAAGCACCCCAGCCCCCCACACACACCTGCCCATCACCATGAAGATGCTCACCGTCTGCTGTCGACGCTGGATAAAATCTGCATCCCTGAGAGATTCGGAAGCGTTTCAGGGCAAAGATCATGTCTTATTCGTTTTTTAACTTCTAAGTCATGACTGGCACGCAGTACCTAGAAGCACTTAAATATATGTTGGTGACAGAACTGTTGCAAACCTCAGAGAATATGATGACCACGGAGTGAATGGATAATCTTAATCTCTACAAGGAACAGCAAACAAACTCCCCACTTCTGCGACTTGGTTTGTGGCAGATGCTCCCAGGCGAGGTCCTGCAGGCTAACAGCATCAATCTAGTCCCACCTAGGTACCTGCTGGAATTGCAGACCCCTGGGGGCCAGCAAAACAGCTCAGTGGGAAAAGGGTGTTTGCTGTTAGGCATAAGGACCTGCCTGCCCACCAACTCACAAGCTGGAAGGAGAGAACCGACTTCCACAAGTTGTCCTGTGACTTCCTCGTGTGTGCCTGCACATATACACACAAAAATAAACGTAGCAAGAGGGTGGGGAGCAAGCCTCTAGACACACACCTTGACATGAGGGGGCACATGCACGCTCCACAGAGAGAGAGAGAGATGTAAAAAGGAATATAAACCGCTGGATTTACACAACCATAATGGCAGGCCAATCACAGTGGCACACGCCTTTAATCCCAGCACTCCAGAGGTAGAAACAGGCAGATTTCTGTGAGTTCAAGGCCAGCCTGGTCTATAGTGGGCTCCAGAACTGCTAAGGCAGATCCTGTCTTAAAAACAAACAAACAAAAAGACAAAAACCAGAACTGTGAAGATGCCGTCTGGAACTCTGTGTGAGCAAGCTTTCCAGATGCCCCTAATGCTCACCAGGGCTGGAGAGCCAGTGGCGCAGAGAAATGCTCACAGGGGCTTGGGTTTCCTTTCTGGTTCATCCTGACATCTTTCTCATTAACCGCAGCTGAATCCCTAAATCCCTCAAATTTCATTCTCCGCCCAGCACCACAAGGAGTTTGGATGGCTGCCGAAGGGCCCACGGATCTGAAGTTCTTTGAAACAGCAGAGGCAGAATAAAAGTGAATAACTGGTCTTCTGAGTAGATTCATTCATTTAAGCCACGAGTGTTCATAAACCACAAGTATTCATTTAAAAAAAAAAAAAACCCAGCAATATATCTGAAGACAAATTTATCTGCCCTCTGTCCACAAGGCTCTCATCCGGCATCGATTGGATTGGAAAGCCGTGAGAATGACCCAGAGGATCACCCATTCCTCCCAGTCCCCAGAGACTTTATTTGTAAATGCTTTCGTGTTTGCTGAAGCTGCTTCAGGAGTGAGGCATCAGAAGACCGACCAGGGTGTAAAATTAAATGCGACCTGCCTATCAAAATAGAATGTTCGTATTTCCATCATATCATCTCAGCACACAGTTGCTAGCTTTTCTTTCTGTTTGCTAGCTTTCCTAGAAAAATCCAATTCCGCCCAATCCGGCCGCTCCTCCTTGCGGTTTTAATCTGATGACTCCCTCCTTCACCGAAGCCCCTCGCACCCCTCCACGCAAACTCGGGGCGGTGAGTGGGCCTGCTCCGGCAACATTCTAAAGCGGTGAGTTTAAATACCTCAGCTAAGAACTCTTAAGAAAAGACAAACAGAAAGTCACCGCACCGGAACACTTCACTGACATTCACGTTCCAGTGCTGTGCCGGGACAGGAGATGGCGCCAAACCGCAGTGGAATGTCTCGGGGTTGGTGGGCTTCCGGCCAGGTGCAGGGCGAGGAGAGGGTTCGCGAGCGAGGAAGCCCAAACCGAAACGAAGACGCGGAGATTGAAACCGCCCGGAGGTCTCAGGGCTCAGTCGTCTTTATTTTTCCCCCTTTCTCGCTTCCTTTCCCCTTTCACGTATTAGCCCCTGGGCACCTCCTCCAAATCAACTAGAAAGTGATCACTGAAGTGTTCAAAAATCCAAACAAAAGTCAAATCGAAGGAGGGTCGTTTCTTCCCCCCCTCCTAGGAACCAGCCTTTGTCCATTTGGGGGGACCGGACGCCCGGAGCGGAAGCCGAAGTCTTGACTTGATGCTAAGACTTTGTTTGTTTGTTTGTTTGTTTTTTATATACATTTTTTAATGATTTTATTTTTATTTTATGTGCGTTGACGTCTTGACCTCACGGTAGGTCTGCACGGCTGGAACTGGAGTTGCAGACCGTGGTGAGCTGCCGTGTGGGCGCTGGGAATCGAACCCAGGTCCTCCGGAAGGGCAGCCAGCGCGCTCCAACCCCGGGGCTGGGACTGCTTTGGGGCAGCAGTGTCCGACCTTGCAGGCGAAGCCCCGGCACCCGCTGCTGTCCGGAAGGGATCCCCCGCTCTGAGTTCTGGAAATCCGTGGAGGAGCCGGGAGGTGGCGCCAGGGCGCACTTCCTGCCCGGGAGGCCGAATCTCGGCCGCGATGCTCCAGCGGAGCGGCGTCCCGGCCGGGGTCACCGGACCCCACCTGCTCCGTCCTCCCTCCACCAGCGCACGCCCTATTCTGCTCGCTTGGCTTTTTCCCCGCGCCCCTGTTTGGCTATTTATTGCTACTTGCTAGGAGCAAGGAGGGCAGAAAGACCTCGCCGAGGTGCAGGCCCTGGGCTAGTGAAGGAAGGTGTGGAGGAGGGAGGTTTCACCGCGTGGCCTGAACTTCTCCGCGGCCTCCACGCTCACTAATGAGGGACTTAGGATGTGCATTCCGATTGGGATTTCCAGTCCGGTGGGGGAGCGCACAGCGGCTCACATTCCGGAGACGTCACGCAGCCAGCAAGCTCCGCTAGCCCGCTGCTCCACCGTGGCAGGCTTCGCTCGGTCCCATTGGACCCGCCTGGACCCTTTGTTGGGTGGGCGGGAAGCCCCTGGACCCCTCACCCACCTGATCACATGGCCTCTCCCTGGCCCCTCCCCTCTCTTTCTCTGCAGTCCGCCTTTTTCTCATGGTGACACTGATTGTTTCCACAGTCACCCATGGCTCCTCCAGCCCCGGCCCCTCTGCTAGGGGTCAGTGTCCTCCTCGGTGACAAAAGGCGGCCTAGATCTGGGCTCCCCGGGGAGGGAGGTGGCTGGGTCTGGAAGTTAGAATGCTGTCTCTCCCTGGCGCGGTGGCAACCCCTCCCCCGCTGTGCACACAAATGGGCTTTATACGGCAAACAAAACCGCACCCCCACCCAGGCTCCACGGGCACGTGGACCCAAGCCTCACCAAGGGACGGGGGTGGTGACAGGCACCAGAGAAAGACAGCGCGGAAGACAAACTCTCGCCCCACTTCTGGCCCTCCACAGTCCAGATTTTAAACTTTTGACTTCCCGCTCCTCACCAGCGCCCTGAGCTCCCAACTTCTGGGCTCCCATCTCCCGAGTCTGAATTCTTTCTGGTCCCGACCAGCTCTCTTGCCTTCGGGAACAGGTTCCCCGCCAGCTGTCCCACACCACCCAGAGATGTGCTCCGCAGGCAGGAGAATGGGAACACAGTGTCCTGGGAGGGAGAGGTGCGAGAACCCCCTTCCCCGCCCGAGCGTTCCAGGGGACACCCATCCGAGCGGCCGTGTAATGGCAAAGGAAGAGCTCGCTCCAGCTGCGCTCCGGAGCCCAAGCCAGGGCTCCGCGGCTCCGCTGGGCCATCCTGCATGCCTAATCCGCTATTTAAGGAGCTGCTCGCCTGCAGCCCAGGCACCACCCCCTCCTCACGTACACCGGTTCCGAGCCACCTTAAAAGCGGGAGGCAACTGTGAAGTTGCTGACCAGCAAGTGGTGTAGGGAGAACGGAGGGACAGACAGAAGGGCAGAGAGAGGGAGAGAGTGGAAGAAATTTACCCTGGCATCCAGAAGCTCCTGCCAACCTGTGGGAAATCAAAGCCCTGGAAACCTGAAGAGAGAGAGACAAGAAGAAAAGAAATAGAACGCCAGAAACTTCTCTCTCCCACCCTACCCCTCTCTTCTAGCCCCCAAATTCCTGGCCCCCCTGTGCCCCATTTGTGGATAATATGTTGTTCTTCGCTCTCCTGTTAAAGGTGACTTGGATCCTGGCTGCAAATGGGGGTAGGTACGACTGTGTCTGTGCTAATGTCCACACACATGTGTACTGAGGTGGGGGAGGAGAGGCTTGTTAAGGGGAAGCCTAGGGGCTGGGAAAAGGCACCGGGTGGGAGAAAGGTGGAGGGGATTCCTGCCCATTCTTTTCCTTCTCCTCTCTAGCCCAGAATCACTGCTGTTGCTGTGGCAGGGCAGAACCAGCTGGAGGCCAGTGTGTGAATACTCGCAGGCGTAGGAAACTTGGCCAGCCACAGTGCTCTGGGCCGCTCTTTCCCCACTGCCCTAGTCCCGGCTAGCCCTCCTGGCCGCCTTTGTTTATGTGCTGGCTGGTTAGGGAGAGCAGGGGTGGGAAGGGGCACGTGCTCCGAGACCGCCCAACTCACACCCTGATTCCCAGCGGATCAGAGGAAAACCTCACTACCTGCCAAGGTGCCCTCTCCATTGCACAGGGACTGACCAACTGCTCCGTCTCCCTGAAAGTAACACAACGATAGACATTTGCCCAGCTCTTTACGGTGTACAGAGGACTTTCAGGAGGAGGAAGGAGGGAGGGAAGGAGATATTTGGGAAATTAAGCCTCTGTGTTCCTGAGGTTCTGGGATACTTAAGGATTCCCACGCCTCTTTTTGTTGTTTTTGTTTTTAATTTTTATTTACTTTTATTTATTTGTTGTTGAGACAAGGTTTCATGTGGCCAGACTTGTCTCAGGCTCGCCGTGTAGCTGAGGCTAGACCCTTTTGCCTCTACCTCCCGTGTGCACCACCATGTCTGACCTCTGCACAGAGTCTGTGCTTCCCTTGCCTCCTTCAGCACACCGGAGGTGAGGGGTTAAGGTTTGTTGGCAGACTAGGTGCGGGGGGAGTAACTAGAAATCCAGGGGAAGATGGAACCAAGGGAACCAATGAAAATGAAGAGTCACAAACCTTTTCTGAAAAGAGACCGTTTGGAAAGAAGAAAAAGTGTTCGGATCGGCTCAGAACGCTTCACAAAGCCAGGGAACTCTTGCTGGGGCATCCCATAGAGATAGTGAATGATCTGGGCTGTTTTGCAAAGTTGCTTGAGCTGAGGAATGGGCCCGCAGGACAGACCACAAGTGGGAGCAGTTAAAGGAGTAGAGGCGGGCACTGTGCCGCAGGCTGGTAATGCAGCACACGGGAGGCTGAGGCAGGGCCGCCACAAGCTTGAGGTGAGCCAGGCCACGTATACATACAGGGCCAGCGTGGAGCAAGAGCAACGCCAAGGCTCCAACGACTAAGTGGAGAGGAAAAGGAACTTAACATTTCGTTTCCAGTTTCTAGATTTAAATAGTACAAGCCAGTCTCCAAGAACACATCCTTTTCTCCTTGAAGCAAGTTAGCCATGGGGGTGGGGGGGGCAGACGGACTAAAACTGCAGACCCCCGGTGATTTGGCCAGAGACAGAACTGCATGAGAGCCTGGCATGTGACCTGGCTGGCAGCTCTCCTCTCCTCACACAATGCCTCACTTTCATCCCGTCCTTGCCAGCCTGGCCGGCTGTGCCCACCCACCACCCTCAACCTAGACTAGGCCCTACCCTAACCCCTGCCTTTCTTGAGCCATCTGAGAATGCAGGATGGTGGGCGACTTTCCTTCAGAGCTAGGGAGACCAGAGAGGAAGAGTTTAGGTTTTAATCGAAAGTGTGGTGCTTCTGTGCCTGCATCAGGACAAAGCACTACCAGCCCTTCCTGTCTTTGCTCACACTGCCACACACTGAACTGTTTTCATCCTCTCACTCTCTGACCTTCCAAGCCCTGTGCAGGCACCCTTACCCCAGCCCAGCCCAATCTTCTAAGTGTTACACTGACTTGGCTTCAGCTGAGAAAAAAGTAAGGGTTGGGCCCTGCACATTTGGATCCAGGTTAATTTTAGTGTCCTGGCTTTATCTCTTCTCCTTGCTCCACCCTCTTCACTCATTAACCATGAATGCGGCCTGGCTCATTATTTTAAATAGGACCCCCGACCTTTCCACCAAGGTGTCCAGTTTCAGTACTGCTCTTGGAAAGTGCTGGCTGGAGGGAGGAGAGAGGACAGAAAAGGAGGGAGGCGGGGGAGGGAGAGGAGAGCAGAGGCCAGGACACTGCTCCAGGCTGCAGGATACCAATCCAGGCTGTGCTGGCCATAGCCCAACTCACTCTCCCTTACAGGTCACCACTGGACATATGAAGGTGAGAGCGGAACTCCAGCCGACTGGCACTCCTTTTACCCTGGGACCCCCTCACCTGCCAAGACAACTTGTCCCGGGGCAGAGGAAGAGCTTTTCTTGAGCCTCACCCACCAGCTCCTCGCTCCCGAACTATATGCACACACAGACACATGCCCTGGGGTTTACACATGTGGCTACTAGACCCTGCTCTGTTCATTAAATCCCACATCTCCTGATTCAGCAGAAATGCCAATAAGTCCTCCGTAAATCCATGTGCAAATGAAGCCACTGAAGTGCAGAAAACTGGGGAGGGAGAGGCCCCGAGAGCCCCACAGCCCTTTACCCGAGGCAGTCCCGTGCGCCCCCACCCCCGCTCTGAAGCTGGACAGAGCCCGAGGTCAGGAGGAAGCTGGCAGGATACTATGACTCTAGGGACAGTGCAACTCAATCCCTCTGAATTTCTGATTAATGATCTATCTGGGGCCAAAGCCAGGTCCAGTGTGAGGGTAAGAAGTGAATGATAAAAAGGATATCTGAACTCCAAAACTACTTGATAGCCCCCCCCCCGACCCATCTGTTTAGGGTCATCTGTCCCCATCTGATTCTATTCTTCGGGTACTTAGGCTGTCTATCCCCCACCCCCCAACTTGCTTGTTCTCAAACTACAGGTGAGTGAAAGCTGCCGCTCCCCCACTAATAGAGTAGCCGAAAAATCACCCCTGCCTCTGGGGCAGCGAGGAGTGCTGCAGCCTGGAGAACAGCGGAGACGCCCACCCTTCCCAGCGCTCCCCAGCTGGGTGGTGGGAAGTTATTTCTACTTCCACTATAAGGTGGGGGCCAGGGCTGTGGGGCTGAACAGGTTTCCATGGTAACTTACCCCTCCCCCAGGCCCACATGGCCAGGAGCATTGGCCAACCTCTTACCCCGAGTGTGGAGGCAATGCCCAGTCCCCCGTCGATATCCAGACAGACAGTGTGGTATTTGATCCTGACCTGCCTGCTGTACAGCCCCACGGATATGAGCAGCCTGGTACTGAGCCTTTGGATCTACGAAACAATGGCCATACAGGTAAAAGACCCAGCTCCGAATGACTGCGGGCTCAGTTCAGACCTTAAAGAGCAGCGGGGAAGCCAGGCGGTGCTAATCCTAGCACTCAGGAGGCAGAAACAGGTGGGTATCTGAGTTCAGACAGCCTGGTCTCCAGAGTGAGAAAGGCTACAAGGGGCTACACAGAGAATCCTTGTTTCGAAAAACCACAAGGGGGGGGGGGGCAGGAAGGTCAGGAAAAAACAGACTCCTAACTTGTAAAATGTCAGAGCACTCCATTAATGAATATGAGGCTCAGAGTCAGGCGATGGTGGCACAGGTCTCTAATCCCAGCACTCAGGAGGCAGAGGGAGGTAGATCACTGTGAGTTTGAAGTCAGCCTGGTCTACGTAGCAAGTTCTAGGACAGCCAGGGCTACACAGAGAAACCCTGCCTAAACAAACAAAGAAAAAACAAGAATGACGTTCAGGCTCCTGAACTGTTGTCTATGATCAGATGTGTAGGTGAGTGTCATTGCTAGAAAAGCTCCAGCCTCTGAGAGGAGCTCACTGCCTCTGGGAGGGAGAAGGAAGAGACGGCAAAGTGTTCCAAGCGGCGGCAGGCTGGGGTGGACTGTCCATTCCCCCAATCCATCCTGCTCTGTTCTCACAGTGCAGCTCTCCCTGCCCCCAAGCCTGCACCTGGGCGGACTGCCCCGAAAGTATACAGCAGCCCAGCTCCACCTGCACTGGGGTCAGAAAGGATCCCGAGAGGGATCAGAGCACCAGATCGACGGCGAAGCCACGGCTGCAGAGGTACAGGACACCTGATGCAATCCAGTTCAGCTTAGAGGAAGGACGGGTCGGGGCCCTTGAGAATCGTATCGAAGGAAGCCGGGCTTGGTGGCGTGCACCCGCAGTCCCAGAACTGGGGGAGGCAGAGGCAGGCGGATCTCTGTGAGTTCCAGGCCAGCCTGGTCTACAAATCGAGTCCAGGACAGCCAGGGCTTCACAGAGAAACCCTGTCTGGAAAAACCAAAACAAAATCGCATTGAAGGAATAAGGCAAAGCTTTGGGGGCAGAGACTTAGATTAGGCAATTGAGGCGCTGACAGAACTAAAGTCAAAGCCTTGGAGGGAGTGAAGAAGCATCAGTTCCTTTCTCTCTTCCTCAGCTCCACGTGGTCCATTATGACTCGGAGTCCTATGGCAGCTTGGCTGAGGCTGCTCAGGAGCCGCAGGGCCTGGCTGTCCTGGGCATCCTGATTGAGGTCAGTGACCCCTAGCCCTTCCCAGGTCTCTCTCCGCCCCATTAAGTACCCCTCAGGCCTGTTGTGGTACTGGCCTCTCTAAAGCTTGTCCATGCAGTCTTATTCCAAACACATGCTTCCGCCATGCCGCCCGTCTACAGGTGGGCGAGAGCGAGAATCCAGCTTATGACCACATTCTGAGTCACCTGCATGAAATAAGATACAAAGGTGAGCCTTAAACGCCTGCAAGAATTCAGCCGCACAGAAACTTTCAGACCCTGAGCTGGGAGGCTTCGGGAGGAGGTAGCAAGCTGGCAGGAGGTTGTCCTTGGGGGGACCTGTCCGGGAAGGCCGAGTCTCCGTCCGTTCTCCCCAGATCAGACGACCTCAGTGGCCCCCTTCAATGTGAGAGAGCTGCTCCCTGGGCAGCTGGAGCAGTTCTTCCGCTACAATGGCTCGCTCACGACTCCCCCCTGCTACCAGAGTGTACTCTGGACAGTCTTCAGCAGAAGGGCCCAGATTTCAGTGGGACAGGTGAGTAGACATGTGAAGACTGGCTTTCACTTCAGACCCTGGCCCGTGCCTGGGAGTGACTTCTCCACTTGTGCTCCTCAGTTGGAGAAGCTCCAGGGGACATTGCTCTCTACAGAAGAGGAGCCATCTGAGGCTCTTGCACAGAACTACAGAGTCCCCCAGCCTCTCAACCAGAGGACCATCTTTGTTTCCTTCATTCAAGGTGACTTGTAGGGCTCAGAAGATATAGGAAACTAAAGAACCCAAAGGCACAGACTAGTGAGGCCCTGGGAAAGAGAAGGCCGAGGGGAAAGGGTTCCCGGGATATCCTTGGACTGGGAACCACCCATAGCTGTAGATGCCCAGGCCCTTTTCCAGGTGTGGAAGCAGAGCCCCCAAATGGGAGGATTTTCTGAACTACTCTAACCCGAGTTTTCTTCCTGTGCAGTGGGATCACTGTCCACCACAGGTAAGACAGCCTTATGTGGGAGCGTGAGGAGCTATGGACCCCAGCAAGGATGGAGGCTCGGGACCTGTTAGACTGGGCTGACATCTTTGTCTCCCCCAGGAGAGATGCTGGGTCTCGGTGTGGGAATCTTGGCTGGATGTCTCTGCCTTCTGCTGGCTGCTTATTTCATCGCTCGAAAAATTAGGTAAGACTTTATTCCTGAAGTAGCCTGTTTTCTATTAAAAAGCATTCTCAGAGGTTGGGCAGTTGGTGGTGCACACCTTTGAAGCTATAATCCTAGCACTCAGGAGGCAGAGGCAGGGAGATCTCGTGAGTTCGAGGCCAGCCTGCTCTACAGAGTGAACTCCAGGACAGCCAGGGCTACACAAAGAAACCCTGCCTCAAAAAAAAAAAAAAAAAAAAAGGCATTCTCAGCCAGGCATGGTGGTGCACCCAACTTTAATCCCAACACTTGGGAGGCAGAAAGGCTAGCCTGGTCTGCACAGTGAGATAATAACCCGCCCTCCCCTGTAGCTCAAGTGAGGGAGTGCTTGCCTAGCATGCACAAAGCTCTGGGTTTCACATTAAACCTGGCATGCTGGTACATACTTGTGATCCCAGTACTCAGGAGGTGGTGGGAAGAGAAAACCTAAGGTCATGACCAGATGCTTACCGAGTTAAGAAGTATGGGGGCTGGAGAGATGGCTCAGCAGTTAAGAGCACTGTCTGCTCTTCCAGAAGTCCTGAGTTCAGTTCCCAGCACCTACAACCATCTACACCCCCTCATGCCCTCTTCTGGCAGGCAGGTGTACATGCAGATAGAGCACCATATACATAAATTAAATTTAAAAAAATTTTTTTAAAGTATTTCCTATTCTTTTTTGGCCTGCCCACCAGAAGAGCACACCAGATCTCATTATAGATGGTTGAGTCAACATCCTGGGAACTGAACTCAGGACCTCTGGAGAGCAGGCAGTGCTCTTAACCTCTGAGCCATCTCTCCAGCCCTGCTATTACTTCTAATTTCACTTAGCACACTAGTCATTCCCATAAACCACTGCTCCCCCTTCCAGGAAGAAGAGGCTGGGAAACAGAAAAAGTGTGGTCTTCACCTCAGCACGGGCTACCACGGAGGCATAAACTTTGTCTCAAGATGCTCAAGATGCCTTGTCTTCGTACCTGTCAGGGAGCCCCTGTTAAGGGGGTGCAGGGACTGGACCACCAGTAGTGGGCAGACACCCGTCTTCGTAGATGCTGCCTCCCCACACACACATCACAGAAGCGAGGCCCCCGATCTTCAGGGAAGAGCGGAGCCTTTGGCCTTTCCAAGCTGCGGAGCAGGAGACCCTGTCGTAGCATTGGCTTATGAAGATGCTCAGGATACGCTGACATTGCTCATTTGGCACATCGCACTCCCCCCCCTACACACACTTGGTAATTTTCTTCCTCTAGGAAAGAGGGCTGCCGCTGAGATTTTCATTATTTTTTGTTCAATATATGTTTGAAATTAAAGTTTGGGCCTTAACCCTGGTCTGTCTTTTGTGGCTTTCAAGGGCGGCACGGCTTTCCCCTGTCCTCTGGGTGGCAGAGACAGGCACAGAGGAAGAAGAACACTGGGATTAAATCCTTGTATCCTACTCCTGGACAAGGGGTCCTACTTCTGGGAAAAGCTAACTCAGCTTCACAAGCTGCACCACCGACCGATGCTTCTGTCACCACACCAAAGCTCCCAATGGTGAACACCGGTTGCCAGGCGAGGTAGCATGGACCAGCGCCACAGGGAGCTGGAAATCTCAATCCATTAGCCCCTCTCGGAAGAGCCAAGTTCCCCCACAATTATAAAGTCCTTTTTATTAGTCAAAAATCACAATCACCTTGATTAAAAGGATGGGATATCTCACCCTTAGCAGAAAAATGATACAGTGATAGAAAACATCCCCAACCCTCCCACATCCCAATTAAAAACTAGAAAAACGTCTGCCCTCTTGGCCTGCGATGCCATGGTAGTCTTGACTGCTCCAGGGGCACTGCCATGGAGAGGGCCAACCCCACAGCACCCTCCATTTCACCTTGGGGAAAGGAGGGATGCTGACAGTCATGGATGTGAAAACAGGAGTTCCAGTGGTACCAGGTCCCAAACATGCACTTCCTTCCTTTTCCCCCGGGCCTGGGACCAAGGGGAAAACGGGATAGAAATGAGCCATGATCAGCAGTTTCAGGAGCAAAAATACAGCCCAAGGAGGTTAGGAGGCTCCCGACATACTTCCTCCCTCCCCTCACTTAAAAAAAAAAAAAAAAAAAGGCATTCTTGGGGTCTTTTATCATACCAAAAATGGTTCCTTTCAGACCTGAGAAAAAGACCAAGATGTCCAGTCTGGGCAGGAGATACTGGAAAACGGAACTCCTCTACCCTTGAGCCTCCCGTAATTTCATCTCCAGGGCCACAGCTAAACTAGGTCCCTTTTCTTGGCAACCTGCACTGTCCAGAACTGGAGATGGAGAAATACAGGACGAGGAGATCGGGAGGGCACCCCAGGCCCAGGGGTCCCCCCCATGTTCCCTCAGTCCTCGGGTGGGATGCGCAGGGCAGAATACACCATCACCCGACTGTCCTCCTGCCGTCGGCCTGCAGAGGGGAAGCGGGGTGAGTCATGGGCAGGGTGAGACTAGAGCACTGACACATGGGGAGACCTGGACAACAAAGGGGTCCCCGGTGGTGGGGAGAGATGCAGGTTCAAACCCACCAGTCCCTGACCGGCTGCACCCAGGCTGCTCCTGATAAAGCTTAGAGACTACTGGTCACAAATGGACAGCGGCAAACCCGGAAGGAGGCGGGACACAGCAGCGAGGAGACGGAGGATGAGGGCAATGGACCCGGGCAGCGAGGAGACGGAGGATGAGGGCAATGGACCCGGGCTGGGGCTGGGCTCAGTCATGGGCAGTGGACAGGCAGATGGGAGCTGTCGGGCGAGCAGTCCAGGTAGTCAGTCCTTACACGAAAGGCTGCGCTGGATACTTCGGAGGGAGCCTCCGGCTGTGGTGAACGCCCAGAGCCCCATGGAGACGGTGACTGCATAGATGGGCAGCAGGCTGGCCTCATACCAGGGGTTCAGGAATGACTGAAAATGTGGGCAGAGAAAGAGGTTAGATTCTCCCCCACCTAACCCCAACCTCCCCAGACATCCTATTCAGACTCCTATGTTTCTCTTCAAAGCACCAACATCTTAGAGCTAAGGTACTTTTGATTTCAGGTTCTCTCAAAGGTTTTAGCTCCTATTCATCAGATCTTCTGCGCTAGTCTGACTAAGGAATTAAAGCTTCCTCCCCAGAGCAGGTGACCTAACTGCGGTTATAGAACTCTACAGACTCGCCTTTCTGCCCCCATCCAAGGTAAGTTAAGAATATGAAGTGAGAACACATACCCCATCCCACTCACCACTAACTGCTTTCTCCCTGCCTCAGGCCCCTCTGTCCAACTCACCAGCCCTGATGTCAGAAGGTGACTTCCAACTACCAGGCCCAAAGCCCAGTACCGTCTCCTCTCACAGGCATCAAAGAACACAACTCCCCAAAAGGTATGGAGAAGGATAATGGCTGCTGTCAGAAAGGCTGCAGGGAGGAAGATGGGGGGGGAGGTTCATCCCTGATCTGTTCCTAGCCACCTGATATGGTGAGCCAGGGCAGTCTCCCAGGGAAGGTCAGTAGGTCAGACCAGGGCCAGGGAAGGACAGGGCATAAAGGCAAGGTTGAAAGTGAGCCTTACCTGAAGTCAGGAAGTAATAGGGTGAGTCTCCATGGATCCCAACCACACCTGGCCCAAGTGCATCAGCCAAAATATTGATAACAGAGAAGACACCACTGATGATACCGAAGGACAGACCAGAAACTGGGGGGAGGGGAGGTTCTCATCAACGTCCACGATCACCACAGCCCCTTTACCAGTACCTACTCCCCATGCCTGGCGGAAATTCTGCCATACCTACTCTCCCTCCAGACTGCCTCTCCTCGGAAGTCAAGTACGAAGACAAACACTTAGCACATACGGATGTTTAGATTTCCCAGAAAGGGAGCAGGGTGTCCAACTCCCTCCTCTGGGCCCTCTCCCTTGGCTCACCATAGGCCATCTGTCGGATGGAGATGGGTGATCTTCCGTCCTCACTCAGTGATGCTAAGCCCTCATCTGCCTTCCTGGGGTAAAAGAGAAGAAACAGAAGGAAGTGCATGGATGTCCCTTTCTGTCTGATATTCTCCATTTAATGCCCCTTATTCCAAGCACCATCCAAAGGCTGGCCCACTTGCCACAATGCACACCACTGTCCCCTCTCCCTTCCAGATCACCCCTTGTCCTTACTTAAGGAGTTTGTAGTAGGCAAAACGGAACACTTCCTGTAGAAGGACAGAAACAGCAGCACCAAAAATCAGGAGGCCATACTGGAGCCGGGCATCTGATCGGTCTGTCACATGGACCAAGATGAACCAGACCACAGAGGCCAAGAGCAGGGAGACCAGCCAGAAAAAGGCTCTGAGAAAACACAACGGCAATGAGAGAGGCAAAGACAGGGGCAGCCGGAAAAATCAAGGAGGTAACCAGCCGAGGCTGCAGTATGAAAAGTGGAAGTTAAACTTCCGAGGGAGACAGGGACCAGATAGGATAAGCGTCTCCAACAGACTCATCTGCAGGAATCTGCAGGCGGCAGACGGGGTAGAGATCTGGTTAGAGTCCTCAGTGAGATGAGAGTCAAAGCGTGTGGGCACGAACGGGCGGTAAGGTATCCATTCCTGGATCCTAGGCTGGCCGAGGTCAGCACAGCCCCTTCACTAGTCTCGGCCTTAGGCCTGCTCTGACGTTGCCGCGAGGACTACAGGAAGAACCGGTGAAATCCCTGGAAGGCGGAAGCCGATTGAGGGAAATCTGCCTAGACCACGATTTGACCCTGTCCAACCTTTTCCGACTTCTGTCCCCCAACTCAGGCGACCAAGCTCGCCCCAGTTCCTCCACCCCTTTCTGCATCTTTTTCTTGGTGTTTGGTCCCTTGTCCACCACCGCTCGCCACTCACCCCGCGACCAGGATGATAACCCGAAGCGGGTCTCCAGCCACAGTGATCAGGAAAAGGGCGAAGGCCGGGCCGAACGCGACGAAGGTGCACCCGAAAAACACAGCAGCCCCCATGACTGGGCAGCGGGGGGAGGAAGGGAGCCCCGGCCGAGAGAGGCGAAGGGGAGCAGCGCGCCGGGGGGGGAGTCCGCGTGGGGCGGCGACGCAACCCCACGAGGGGCGCGGTGCAATGTCACCCCCGGACCCCGGGGAAGGGGAAGGGGGGCACCGAAACCCCGGACGAAGGTCCGCCCGACCTCGTCTACGGAAGCCGAAGAGGGAACAACCCCCGGTCGCTGCCCCATGGCCACCTCCCATCTAATCCCCACCCCCGGAAGACCAATGAATACTTGGTGGGGCGGAACTGCAGAGGCGGGGTCGTGGCGGCGCAGCCTTCTGGGAGTTGTAGTCTTCCATCCTTGGAGACTACACGGGTGCTGGGAGTGGCTTCAGAGGAGGCCGGGACTGGGCCCAATCAGGAAAAGGATTTCTGGTCCCTTTGAGCTTTGGCGACGGTTTTCTTTCTTAACACTACGGAGAAGAGTGATAACCACCCTGTGTATTTCTAGAAGAGCTTTGGCGGGGAAAGATCCTGTTTGATCTAGAGATAAAAAAAGGAGCACAGGATAAGGGTTGATAAGGGTAAGGAAGATAGGGACAGACATTGTTCTTCTTACTTGAATTAGAGGAAACGGCCCAGAGAAGTACCTAAGGGATCAAAGTTGGAGCTCTTGGGGCAGCCTGTCTTCCATGAAGCCTTCACCTGTATTGTGCAATGACAGAACTAGAGGAACAAGAGGAGCTGAGAGAGAAAGGTTTAGCAAAAACGTTTAGAAGGAATCCAGGACTCAAAAAGCAACTAGAGCAATGAATGGAGCTGAGGGGAAATGACAGCCCCCACACCAAGTCGCTTAGTTCCTTTGATGTCATACTTCCTCTATTTATAGTCTGGAAAATAAACTTGAGTGCTGTCTTTTCCTGTGGAGAGGGATTTCGTATTAGAACGAATCATCATTTTTATAAAGACAGGTTGGTCCTTAGGGGGCTACCCAAGGAACCCTATAATGGAATTCGACCTAGACAATTGGTTCTGAGAGTATAATCAAAGCAACAACAAACCACGGGAAAAAAAAAAAAAAGTGAAGATCGCCAGGCTTCCTGGAAGTAATTTATAGTTTATGAATGTGTGCCAGTCATATGGCTGGTTTACACTTTGTTGTTTTGTTTTGTTTTGAGACAGGTTTTCTTTGTATAACCTTGGCTATTGTGGACCCCCTTTGTAGACCAAGCTGACCTCCAACTCATAGAGATTCACCTCCCTCAGCCTCCTGAGTGCTGGGATTAAAGGTGTGAGCCACCACCCCTGGACTGTTTTACACCCCCCCCCCCCACCCCCCAGTAAATTCTGGGAGGAGAAAATGGAGAAACAGGTTTTTGCCAAAAGTCACCAGGCAATGTTTTCCCAAAGTTAGAAGGATGGGAGCATCCTGGCCAATGTATTAGATTCTATATGTGTCCTGCTTCCGAGCTCACCAGGCTGATTGTATAAGCTAACTCTCCTTTCTCTGTGAGCTGCTATGTCTTGACTGCAGAGAGCAACCTGTCTTGTAAGTAGAGGTTCCACAGACGCTTGTACAGTGTTAATAAAAACTGAGCGAGTTTTTTTTTTTTATTAACTATGTGGGGGTTTTAATTTTGTTTTAATATTTACTTTGCATGTGAGTGTTTCTTTCATGTATGTCTGTGCAACATTTTTGTGCTTGGTGCAGCCCATGCAGGCCAGACGAAGGCATCAGAGGCCCCAGGACTAGGGTTAACAGATGCTTGTGATCCACCATGTGCATGCTGGGAACTGAACCCAGGTCGACTGGAAGAGCAGTGAGGCTCTTAACCACTGAGCCATCTCTCCAGCCCCTGGTTTTGGTTTTTTGAGACAGGGTTTCTCTGTGTAGTCCTGGCTGTCCTGGAACTTGCTCTGTAACCTGGCTGGCCTCAAACTCAGAGATACAGCTGCCTCTGCCTCCCAAATGCTGGGATTAAAGGTGTGTGCCACCCCCTCCTGGCCTATGTGGAGTTTTAAAAGATACTTTAGATAATACAAAAGATTCTTTTTGTATTCGCTTTATATCCTGCTTTACGACATTAACAAAGTTCACAACTTTATGCCAAAACATGAGGAGAATGGTCATTTATTTAGGAATGTTTTGTAGTCCTATGTCATCTGACTTCTTTTAATCTATATTTTTGTTGTTGCTTTGAGATGTGTGTGTGTGTGTGTGTGTGTGTGTGTGTGTGTTTCTTTGGTTGGTTTGGTTTTTTTGAGACAGGGTCTTTCTATGTAGCCCTGGCTGTCCTGAAACTAACTACATAGAGCAAACTGGCCTCGAACTCTCAAACATCTGCCTGCCTCTGCATGTCGAATGCTGGGATTAAAGGGCTATAACGGTGTTTTGTCTTTTAGCTACCTTGTCTGTGAGGTCTCATTTGCCTGGCAGATTAGCCTTAGCTCATTATGCGCAATAAATGTGCTCGCGCTCCTGAATTGAACTGAATGAAAACAGGAAATACGGAAGCAGATAGAATGTTAGGGAAGATGCCAAGAGGGAGCCAGAGAATGGCTTAGCCCTTAAGAGCACTGGCTGCTCTTCCAGAGGTCAATTCCCAGCACCCACATGGTGGCTCATGACCATCTACAATGGGAACTGATGTCCTCTTCTGTCATACATGCAGATAGAACACCCATATGTATAAATAAATAAATCCTTTAAAAAAAGGAAGATGCCAAAAGTCTGAACACGGGGGTGGGGATGGCAACTAGCAGAGGATGATGTATCTGTTTCTTCTATTCTTCCATCCTGTTTCCAAGAATCTGGAGGAAAGGGGTGGTCACCAGCAACACAGAGTGGAGAGAAAATAAGTGACCTTGGCCACAATAGCCAAACCATGGGGTGGTCATGTTGGCAGTTTTGTTTTTTTTTTTTTTTTT